TGTTGAGTGTTGCCCCATGTACCAGTGAAAATCTTCCAGCCAATGTTAGAAGCAACAGCCTCCTCAATGGCTTCCCTATTCTGCCCTTGCTTCCCGTCCTTCTGTTACCAACACAGCAGCCAGAAATGTTCAGTAGAATTAGCTCTAGACCCTCCAATGACTTCCTAGCTCACTCAGTTGTTAAAGATAAAAATCACAGAACCGGGGTAGCATCACTTCTGCTAAAAAGCTTATGATACCAAACCTAGATTTAATACCTGATCTAATTACAGTTCCAACTTCTCCCAGTAACAAAATCTTAATCAACTAGTTGGTCTGGAATTTTCTGGTCAAGCACCAGAAAGGCAATTTGTCATAGAGGCCTTCTCCAACTCCCCACCCCCACCCCCACCCCCATCCCAGCCCTACACACACACACACACACACACACACACACACACACACACACAAAGAGGAAATTTGCATGATAAAACCCTTCCCCTTTTCCTTCCCCAAAAGAAAAGATATTGACCCCCAAATCATCTTTTCTTTTGTTAATAGCCCCCTTGCCCTACTCCTCTTCTTATAAAAAACCTTCCATTTTGTACAACCCCTCAGAGTGGCCCTTTTAGTTGCTAGAGGAGATGCTGCCCAATCAATTCATGAATCGCTTAATAAAGACAATAAGCTCACCCTGGCTGGTTTGGCTCAGTGGATACAGCATCAGCCTTAGAATCAAAGGGTCCTGGGTTCAATTCTGGTCAAGGGCACATTTAAAAAAAAAAAAAAAGACAATTAGATCTTCAAAGCAAATAAATTTTATTTTGTTAACTTTCATTTAAAATTTGCCTTATCACTATTATTCCCTCCCCCCCCCCCCCCCATCTTCTTCCAGATGCACTGGCCTTTTTATCTAACACCAGCTCCATTCCTACCCCAGGGCCTTTTCGCATTTCTCTAGCTTCCTCACTTCCTTCGGGAATTAACTCAAAAGTCACCTTTTTGAAATCTGACATCTGCTACAACATGGATGAAACGTGAAGGAATTATTCTAAGTGAAAGAAGCCTGTGTGGACGAAAGGGGCCACATGCTAACCTGACAAGCTCAGGGAAGGCCTACATAAGACCTAAAGTAACCACAAAGGATGGTCTGAAATTACACTTTAACTGAAAGCAGTTATGGTGGGTAGTCACCTCCTAGGCTGGTATCTTCCCTGACAAGGTTAATCTTTTTTTTTTTTTTTTTTAAATATATATTTTATTGATTTTTTTACAGAGAGGAAGGGAGAGGGATAGAGAGCCAGAAACATCGATGAGAGAGAAACATCGATCAGCTGCCTCCTGCACACCCCCCACTGGGTATGTGCCCGCAACCAAGGTACATGCCCTTGACCGGATTCGAACCCGGGACCCTTCAGTCCAAAGGCCGACGCTCCATCCACTGAGCCAAACCGGTCAGGGCACAAGGTCAATCTTTACCTTAACCTTTATCTTTACCTTAGTCTTTTTGCATCTATGATAACATATCCTAGAAATGTCAAGGTTACTTGTAACTTCCCTTTTTCCAGACCCCTCAGGGCACAACCAAATGTCCTGGATGCCAGGACAGATACCACAAATTCCTTCATTGTTATTGTCATCATGTTAATTGTTGACTGTTAACTAACCAGTAACCACCTAAGTAAAAGAAGTATGTGTCTATCATTTCACTTTTTATCCAATCCCAGAAGTCCCCCCACCTTTGCTTTCTCCCGCCTCTCTAATCTATCACCAATGGATTTCATTTAACACACCTACATCTCCTCCTTTGACTAATTTATAAAAATAGGTTAAAAACATCGTCAGCCTGCGGCCTGAAGGGTCCCAGGTTCGATTCCAGTCAAGGGCGTGTACCTTGGTTGCGGGCATATCCCCAGTGGGGAGTGTGCAGGAGGCAGCTGATGGATGTTTCTCTCTCATTGATGTTTCTAACTCTCTATCCCTCTCCCTTCCTCTCTGTAAAAAAGAAAATCAATAAAGTATATATTAAAAACAAAAACAAACGTCCATTCTCTGGAGCATTATCCCAATCCATTGAGATTCTGCTTCCCAGCAATTGCCAATAGTTTGGCTCAAATAAACTCACAAAAATTCTCTATAGGTTTGAATATTTCTTACTTTGACATTTACATGAGGTACCTAGAGGCAGAAAGGATAAGAGAGGTTGCTAGGGGCTTCGGGGAGGGGATAGTAGGGAGTTTCATTTGGGGAAGATGAGTTCAGTGGATGGATGAAGATGCTGGTTGCAGAACAATGTACTTAATACCACTGATCTCTACACTTAAAAATGGTTAACATGGTAAATATTGTTGTGCATATTTTACCACAACAACAAAAAGTCACCTTCATCGTGAAGTCTTCTGAGCCACCCTTTATAAAATGTCAACTGCTGGGCAGGCTGGAAGAGGGATGGAATCCTGGTTTGGCAGGGCAGGGACAGGGCCAGAACCTGGGAACTTCCGGGACACCTCTGGGAGAAGGGAAAAGGGAGGGGGTTTCAAAAAGGCAGGATCTGGGAGGTGCAGAAGCAGACAGGCGTGAGTTCCCAGAGCGATTTGCTTTCTGGGAGAGGAGAGATTGAGTAGAGGCAAGGGTCAGTATTTCGGAGGAGCTAGCCTGGGCCTACACCTGCAGGAAGGATGTGGTTCCCCTAGTTCAGCTCCTTAGCCCTTCACAGCCCCTGCCACCACCTCTGCTGACCTAGTCGCTGTAGAAGCAGATACAGCAGGACGGCCCGCAGCATCACTGCCTTGCGCCTTCCACCTGCGTGCCCTCCCGTGGCTTTGTACAGTTTGTTTTGGTCTCGACCTGCATGCCCACCCTCTGTATCCATAGCCCCAGCAAGAAAGCAATTGTGGCCAGGCTCAAAGGACCCATCTTTGGAAAGTCCTGACCCCAAGGGTACAGAGGTCCTATATTGGTCACTGCCAGATGCCAGCCAGGCAGGAAGTTGAGTCTGACCCAGAGAGACAGAGAGAGACCAATATCCGTGACCACTTCTACCCCCAGATGACCTCTTTAGAGGCCAGTCTGAGACCTGGGTCAAGATCAAGCACGGTGCCTAAGCAGGACAACGGTGCTCTTGTATCCCAGCCAAGATGGGTCAGGGGTCCTGTTTCTGCTCCCCCTGTTTAGAACCCTTGAGTGGAAACCCCTTTGGCTGGAGCAAAGGCCTGGAGGCATTAGAGCTGCTCACTTAGGATCCTGACCATGAAAGCACTATTCTATCTTGAGACCCTGGTCATGACAGCCTATTCTGCCCAGCTCTCAAAGAGCCCTATTTTCAGGGTCTCTTCCCCCAGAATGTATCACCAAAGCTGGGGCCCTCCCAGTGCCTTCCCAGTGCTCAGGCCTAGGGAATAGCCCTACTGTGCCTTTTATTCTGGGTCCTACTACAGCTGGTCTCCTTGTGATATCTCCCTCCACCCCCTAAACCATCATAGTCAGGCCCAGTTTCAACGGCTAAAACCTGAATCCCTTGCCAGGCTGAAGCATGTACTATTTCATTTAATCACAGCAACCCTATGAAGTACTATTTATTATTGCCATTTTTACAGATGAGAAAACTAAGGCTCAGAGAAGTTAAGCAACTTGGCCCAAATCATACAGCTAGTGAATATTGGAGGTAGATTTCAAACCAAGGTCCGCCTGGCTTTTGGAACCCATGTCCTCAAATGCACTGGTCTGCAGAGTAGACCAACTGCCTTTTGCTTTTCACCACCATCGACCAGCTTCTGGGTACTGCCCTCCTGGCTGCAGACCTTTGTTTGTTTGTTTGTTTCTTTTTTAAGACCCATCCCCTGATCATATCCTTCTCACTCTTGACAATGAAACTCAACTGTAAGTCATCACATCACAATGAATCTCTTTTTAATGCCTGGAACCAAGACATCCACCCCAAATGCTTCCCGAACTTTATGCTCCGTTGCTCCTTTGAGGATTTGGCTCACATTCCTCACTGACCTTTTGCTTATTCCATTTGCCCTTCTTGGAATACCCTTCCCAAGCCATTCAGGAGCACCAGCTGAAGTCCCGGAAGACTCCTAATTCCTCAATCCAGTTACATCACACAATTCTGGGGCTCAAGGCCAGAAACACCCCCAGAAAGCTCCTCTGGCCCAACACAAAGTCAGGAAGCTACAAAGAACGAGGAGGGCTAGAGTTCTAGTCCTGTAGGGCTCAGAGGGGGAGAAAGGACACCGGTGCAGCTGTTTCTTTCAGGTCCTGAACCATTGGTTTGTTTCTTGCTTGGGACAAGGAGGTAAAATGATGTTGGGAGAAAAACAGGGCTGAAGAAAGAGGCAGGTGGAGCTGAGAGATTGCCCAAGAGAAAGGAGATGTGTGTGGAAGCCATGTAGGTGGCCCATCTTCCTATAATATCCATTTCTCTGGACCATGTTGGGCAGGGAATGAAAATCTGTAACCTAAAACATTTTTTAAAAACTTTTATTGATTGCTGAGAGAGAGAGAGAGAGAGAGAGAGAGAGAGAGATCAATTTGCTGTCCCACTTATTTATGCACTCATTGGTTGACTCTTGTATGTGCCCTAACCCAGGTATGGAACCTGCAGGCTTGGTGTATCGGGATGATGCTCAAACAAACTGAGCTACCCCGCCAGGGGTCTCACCTAAAACATTTTAAAGTTAAACGCTTTAAGTTAAATATCCTAAAATATTTTGAAAGTCTTAACAGGATATTAAGGTTAATAGCAAAATACTCCAGAATTTTTAAGCTAAAACATGAAATTGCAAATAAAATAAAATATCCCTTGCTTGTGGGGGAGAGTTTGGGCTCCTCTCCCAACTGGGGCAGATTCCCTTTGCTCTGAGGTTGCCGGATGAGAGCCAACGCCGGGCAACGAGTGAAGGCAGCTATTGTGATCTCGGGAGGCCGGGAGGGGACGCTCGGTGCGTCCCAGAGGCTCTGGGAGGAGCGGCCGGCGGCCACAGCACCTCCGCGTTAGCCTCGGGCCGGAGCGGAGCCTTCAGTCCCGGAGTCACGGGCTCCGCCCCTCGCCCCCGCTCCGCCCTGCACTGGCTCCACGTGGTTTTCACCACTCGCACCGAGGACCTGGTGGTCCCAAGGGATCTCCAGGTTGGGGTGGTGCGGTAGAAAGAACCGCAAGCAGCCAGGAGGGTCGGTCTGTGACTTCTCCCCGAAACGTGCAAGGAGCGCGCTCTGCGGGGAAAACAGGACTCCACCGGCTTCCGACGACAAGCTTGCGACGGAGAGTCGGAGTCCCGAACGACAGGTGAGGACGAGCGAGCGGACCAAAGGGAAGGACAGTCCGGGGTCACCAACCAGACCGCCATGGCCGCGCCCGCCCGCCGACTGTGCCATGTCGCCTTCCACGTGCCCACAGGGCAGCCTCTGGCCAGGGATCTGCAGCGCCTCTTCGGCTTCCAGCCCTGGGCGGCGCGGGAGGCCGGCGGCTGGCGGCAGCTGGCCCTGCGCAGCGGCGACGCGGTCTTTTTGGTGAATGAGGGCGCGGGGCCCCGGGAGCCGCTCTACGGCCTGGACCCGCGTCACGCGGTGCCCAGCGCCACCAACCTGTGCTTTGATGTGGCGGACGCGGGTGCGGCCGCCCGGGCGCTGGCGGCAAAGGGCAGCTGCGTGCTGGTGCCTCCTGTTCGTGTGCAGGATGCACTGGGTGCTGCCACCTACACCGTGGTCAGCTCGCCGGCAGGCAACCTTAGCCTGACGCTGCTGGAGCGCACCGGCTACCGCGGACCCTTCCTGCCCGGTTTCCGCCCTCTGTCCTCCAAAACCGGCCCCGGATGGTTCAGCCACGTGGACCACCTGACCCTGGCCTGCACCCGCGGCAGCTCCCCTACACTGATGCGCTGGTTCCACGACTGTCTAGGCTTTCACCACCTGCCACTGAGCCCAGGTGAGGATCCGGAGCTGGGCTTCGAGGTGACAGCGGGGTCTGGACAAGGAGGGCTGAGGCTCACTGCCCTGCAGACCCGGCCATGCAGTGCTGTCCCCACCCTTGTGCTGGCTGAGTCCCTCCCGGGGGCCGCCAGTGGACCGGACCAGGTGCAGCAGTTCCTGGCCCGGCACAGAGGACCCGGCCTGCAGCACGTGGGACTGTACACACCGAACATCACAGAAGCCACTGAAGGGGTGACTTTGGCGGGGGGCCGGCTCCTGATTCCCCCAAAGGCCTACTACCAGCTCGGATCTGACGTTCCTTGCCCGGCTGCTGGTAGTAGGCCTTTGGGGGAATCAGGAGCCGGGCAAGGAACGTCAGATCCGAGCTGCAGGTCATGAGCCCAACCAGCTGGCCCTGCAGGGAATTCTGCTAGATGGCGAGAAAGGCAAGTTTTTGCTTCAGGTCTTCACCAAGTCGCTCTTTGCAGAGGACACCTTCTTTCTGGAGCTGATTCAGAGGCAGGGGGCCACAGGCTTTGGCCAGGGCAACATCCGGGCCTTGTGGCAGTCCGTGGAGGAGCAAGCTGCCAGGGGTCAGGAAGCCTGAGGAGGCCAGAGCTGGCAGCCACCTGTCCTGGAGGTCTGGGGAGTTCAGCCCAGGGCCTGGTGGAATAAGGCTTCGTCCCTAGGGGCCAGGTGTGGCCCCCATTTCATCAGTACCTGCCAGAAGTTGAATCTCTCACTGGGGTCCAAAGAAGTTTGTTTTTAACTATAAAACACTTTTTACAGTCTATATCTAAATAAAGAATAAAGGAGTATAACTCCTTTAGGAAATGGAACACAACCAATACTCTTGAAGACTTTTATGTCCTTCTCTGACCTCATTTCCCTTCACCCACTCCCAATTTTAGGATTATTAACCCCTTGCTTTTCTGTGTTGATTCACTACGTATGTAATTTATCCCTAAATAAGTGATTTATTTGAGGTAGGAATTTAAGACAGAATAAATCTTTCTCTGTGCTTCCCTTCTCCCTCAGGAGCAGCCACAGAAGGGGGAGGGGTTAGGTTAAGGCTGAGCCAAGCCACTTGCTCTAGAGCAGTGGTTTTCAACCTTCCTAATGCCACGACCCTTTAATACAGTTCCTCATGTTGTGGTGACCCCCAACCATAAAATTGTTTTCGTTGCTACTTCATAACTGTAATTTTGCTACTGTTATGAATCGTAATGTAAATATCTGATATGCAGGATGTATTTTCATTGTTACAAATTGAACATAATTAAAGCATAGTGATTAATCACAAAAACGATATGTAATTATATATGTGTTTTCCGATGGTCTTAGGCAACCCCTGTGAAAGGGTTGTTTGACCCCCAAAGGGGTCGCGACCCACAGGTTGAGAACTGCTGCTCTAGAGTGATACCACTGCTACAGAACTAACCAGAGACCTGGAGTGAAGGTGTGGGTATCAGCCACTGGTAGGGACTTCCTGCGGCTGCCTTCTCCCTCTTTCCTGGGGCTGAGGGAGGGCAGATTACTCTGGATAGAACATGCTCCTCTATCTGCCCAGGGCTGGCTGGGAGCTCAGCCAGAGGAAGTCAGGACCAAGCAGGACTTGTCCACTTCCTGGAACCCTCAGAGGTGAGGAGGAAGGGGGCTAGGCAGAGGATGGAAAGTCTCCAAAACGACTATAAAAATAAGTACTTTATTAAAAAACAGGATTCTCAAGAGGAGGGCGCTTCCAGATGTGTCACTGGGCCGCACTGTTGGGTCTAGGTGCATCTGTGGGGATATGGGGCCGAAAGAAACGATCCAGGACTTGCTGGCCTGGGCTGGGCTTTTTCCGGCTGGATGGAGTAGACACCTGGGATCTTTTGGAACTCTGCTTAGAAGGCATTAAGGGGGCAGTGAAGAATACTCTCCTTTCACCCCTATCCCCACTCCACTGCTCTAGCTCAGACTCTAGCCTGAATGTAAAAAGCTTCCAACCTATCTCCAGGATCTGCCTCTTCCATCAACTCTCTAAACAGCAGTCCAAGGTAATCTTCCTCAAATATAAATCTGACTCCTCGCTCCACCTAAAATGCTTCAGTGGGCTGGTGTTCATGGCCCTGCCGATTGCTCCGGCTAGGTGCTCAGAGTTCCTCACACACACAGACTGCACTGTGCCCATCATTACTTACACTACTTATTGTTTTTGTTAATCCTCACCGAGGAGGCCTTTTCCATTGATTTTTAATCCTCACCTGAGGATATTTTTCCATTGATTTTTAGAGAGAGAGAGAGAAAAAATATTGAATGGCTGTCTTCCATGCAGGCCCGACTGGGGCGGGGATCAAACCTGTAACCCAGGTACGTGCCCTTGACCAGAATCCTTCAGTGCTTAAGTCAAGATCTAACCACTGAGCACACAGACCAAGGCTGCTTAAACTATTCTTGGGCCTGGAAGAACATCCTTATTGCTGATTCCCTTCCCAAACCTGGAGAAAATGATTCATTTCTAGGACCCACATTACCAGCCACTTCTTCCAAGCAGCCTTTCCCTGATCCTTTCCTCCCAGACAGACCTGAGAGCTCTCCACCTCATATCCCACAAAATCTAGTAAAACATTTCACACATCTGACACTACTGTCTCTATTTTCTCTGTTCCCTCTCCACCTAAACCCTAGGTGATTCCTCGCCCCCTGGTGAAACTCGGAGTGGACAATGTTCACCCAAATGTGTCCCTTAACTCACTGAAAACCTGTGGATTCAGGCCTAGGGAGAGAGATGGCTGGCGAGGGCCAGGGGACTCACCTTGCAGGTCCCCGACTGTTGGCCTTCATACACGCGGAACACCTAGCCAAGAAGAGAGGGGGAGAGTGCAGGGCTGGCATCTTCCTCCAAAGAGCCAGAACCCTGTCCTTTTTAATTTTTATTTTTCCTGTTTATATGGTAATAGGTTCATGCAGAACATGTAGGAAGCATAACAAAGACAACAAAGATAGTGCCTTTTTCATGGCGGTGGAGACAGCTGCGGTGTGAAACTCTTCCCGAGTCAGCCAGCGAGCGCCAGGTGCTGTGACTGTCACTGGGGCCTGCCCTTCCAGGGCCAGACCATATACTTGATAGGTCAGCTTGATGTGAGAGAAGGTGTGGACCACCTGGGGGAGGACCAAGGGGCTGAAACAGGCCCGTGGATGTGGCTGAAAAAGCCGTCATTTTTGGCCCCTCACTGCTCACTTACCTGCCCTAGGTGATGCAGGTGGGTGGCTGGGAGGGGCCCAGCCCAATTCTGCAGTTCCTGCAGCAGGGCCTTGCGCTGATGCTGTCCTGAGGGGTCCACAGTCACAGATGGGAACTCCCACAGTCCTGCCAGCAGACCTGAGACAGCGGTCAGCAGGTGTGAGTTAGGCCTTAGCTGTTGACTCCTCCATTCCTCCCCTTTTGTTCACACCATTGCCCTCCACTCCCAGGATCCAGGTACCTGAGTTGGGCCTCTGTACCAGCAGAATCCGGGCACCCCCAGGGGCTCTGGGCTGCTCCAGAACACAGGTGGCAGAGCACTCCTCCCTGGGGGGCTTACGGCTGGCCTTTCTGGGAAAGTTGGCCACTCCCAGCGTCTGGTCCCAGGGCTCTGTAGGAGGTGCGCACAGCTGGCACTGTCCAGTGTTGGGAGCTGGGAACAGAGATCCCAAACCCCACTCAGGCCAAGTGGGCTTAAGTGCCAAGCCCAGAGAGCAGGTCTTGGCCTAGCTGTGCAGAATCTAACAGGCTGTAGGATGAACTAGAACAGGGGTGGGCAAACTTTTTGACTCGAGGGCCACAATGGGTTCTTTTTTTTTTTTTTAAATATATTTTATTGATTTTTTACAGAGAGGAAGGGAGAGGGATAGAGAGTTTGAAACATCGATGAGAGAGAAACATCGATCAGCCGCCTCTTGCACAACCCCCCAGTGGGGATGTGCCCGCAACCAAGGTACATGCCCTTGACTGGAATCGAACCCGGGACCCTTCAGTCCGTAGGCCGACGCTCTATCCACTGAGCCAAACCGGTCAGGGCCACAATGGGTTCTTAAACTGGACCGGAGGGCTGGAACAAAAGCATGGATGGAGTGTTTGTGTGAACTAATATAAATTCAAAGTAAACATCATTACATAAAAGGGTACGGTCTTTTTTTTTTTTTTAGTTTTATTCATTTCAAACGGGCCGGATCTGGCCCACGGGCCGTAGTTTGCCCACGGCTGAACTAGAATGAGGCTTCCCAGGCAGCTCAGTGACAGTGCAGGGAAGGGCTGGGGCTAGAACCAGCACTCACCACACTCCTCCACGTCAGGACTGCCTGGCAGGCTCTGTGAGGATGGAAGCCGCTCCCGCTCCACCTGACAGATATAGGGAAGGAAGTCACGGTGCACGGGGGACTCCCTAGGACCTCGCTGTCCCTTCCCCAGATGGCTCACCCTCTGGTGTGCCCGGCACAGGCTCTGGACAGGGCACTGGCTGCAGTGTGGGTGTTGTGGGCTGCACACTATGGCTCCCAGCTCCATGGCTGCTTGGTTAAAGTCTCCGGGCCGGGCTGGGTCTACCAGCTGCTGGGCTAGGCTCCTACCAGAAAGGAACATTCCTGTGAGCCCAAGATCCTTTGGGGGCACCCTCCCAATGTCCTGCATTACCCCAATATCCTACCAGAGCTGCTGGGAGACAAAGGTGTTGCTGGGATCGGCACCAATGCCTCGGACACGGCATAGCACCCGCACTACGTTTCCATCTACCACACCGGTCACCTAACGGAGGAGTCCAGGAGTCAGCCTGGTCTGGGAGGAAAGTGGGCATGCACAAAATGGGGGTGGACTATGGGCTCACCTGGCCAAAGGCAATGGAAGCAATGGCTCCAGCTGTGTACCGCCCCACGCCAGGCAGGAGCCGCTGCAAGGTCTCTGCTGTGCGTGGCACATGGCCCCCGAGCTCCTCTACCACCTGATTGGGATGGGAGAGGTTCAAGGTTAGGAGACATCTGAGGGCCTGGAGATCCCACCCTCCCTGCTATCCCCTTACCTTCCGGGCTCCCTCCTGCAGCCGCCGGCCTCGAGAATAGTACCCCAGGCCAGCCCAGAGCTGGTTCACTTCCTGTGGGTGGGGTCAGAGGTCAGAGAAATCAGCACTCAGTCCTCTGTTGTCCTCATTTCCCCCTCCCCTAGGGTGGGTCTCACCTCCAGGGAAGCACTGGCCAGATCCTGCAGTGTTGGCCACTTCTATAGCCAGAAGACAGGCAAAAATAGAGAGGTCAAGGGTGAGGGAGGAAAAAGAAGCCTTCTTTCCCCCCAGTCCAAAGACAGGCTCTCATCTGGGGTCTAGCCCATCACCCTCCCCTTCCTTCCCTGAAGTCACCTGCATCCATCTGGTATAATAGTCGATCACCGTGGCAACCTGGGTCTGCTGCAGCATGACCTCTGAGACCCATACTGGGGAAGAGGGGTTGGCATGAGGACACTGCTGACCTGCCCTGCTCCTAGCCCATAGCCCTGACTCCAATCTGAGGGTGTCCGGGCAGAAAGCAGCTCTGTTTTCAGATGTACTCACCAGCATATGCCCGCCTGTCCAGGTCCACCTCACCCTCTGCCTGCCAACGCAATCCCAGATGGGGAGTTAGTGTGGAGGGGGCTGGGCACTAGCCTCCCACCCCGGTCCCTGTCCCTCGCCTGCCTACCCGCCTTCTCCAGGGCAGGTCCCGCTTCTTTTGGTCATACCAGCTCAGCAGGCTCTCCCGGAAGACGGTGACCTCAGCTGTATCTCTGAATTGGTGGTACGGGGAGAGAGAGGCCTGCAATACCACCTCCTCCTGACGCCTGGCCTGGCCTGCTGGGGCCTCAGGAAACTCAGGAGTTGTCCCTGCACAGGCTGTGCACCAGGAACCTGGGACACTACAGCCTGGTTGCAGTCTGCTTCCACTTAGGGCTCCCCCCACCCCTGACCCCTTGACCTGGAGTCAGTCCAGAATTATCTAGCTGTGTGTAGCCTTAGCCAAGTTTCTAGCCTTAATCTTCCCAGAGTGGCACTGCTGGCTCCTTTGTCTCTGGGTTATAATGAAAATCCAACAGTTTCAGTCAAGCATAACATACCTGTGCAGGGATTTCCCATTTACAAAATACTTTCAGGCAGATCAACTCATTTGATCCTATGAAAGCCACCTCGAGAATAGTACCCCAGGCCAGGTACTACTGAGGAAGAAACTGCACAGACTACTCTCCATGTCACTGGCAAGAAAGCAGCCGTTCAGAGCAATTATCCCAAAATCACATTGCAAAGTCAGAATTAGACCCTTCATTAGTCCCTTCAGGCTTGAATCTGCCCCCTTTCATAGCCAGTGAAACCAGCCCAGGAGTTTTTTACTAGGTCCGAGTTCCTCACCATCAGGGATAGTAGGCCTGGCCTGGCTGCTGCTGAGGGCATGTTTCTCCCTTTCCTCCCCACTGGATGTCTGCTTCCTGCGACGGCTTCCCACAGCTGCGCGTGGCTTCTTCATGACGATCTAGAACACAAAGGCCCAGCCAAAGTAGTCAGTCAAAATTAGGCTGAATCTTGGGGCCCTTTAGGGGGTGGAGCCACCTCCATCCCTACACCATTCACAGTGCCTAGCTTTTCTCAATAACTCTCTAGACTGGCCAGTGTGTGCTCAGTGGTTGAACTCACTGGCTTGATTCCTGGTCAGGTCACGTGCCCAGGTTAGGTTGTGGGCTCTATCCTCAGTAAGGGTCTACAGGAGCCAGTAGGAGGCAGCCATTCAATGGTTCTATCTCCCTCTCCCTTCGTCTCTGAAAAATCAATAAAAACATATTTTCTAAAACAAACAAACAACTCTCTAGATCAGCGGTTCTCAACCTGTGGGTCGCGACCCCTTTAGGGGTCGACTAAGACCATCGGAAAACACATATATAATTACATATTGTTTTTGTGATTAATCACTATGCTTTAATTATGTTCAATTTGTAACAATGAAATTGGGGTCACCACAACATGAGGACCTGTATTAAAGGGTCGCGGCACTAGGAAGGTTGAGAACCACTACTCTAGATGCTCATGAGCTTGCTCTTGACTGGCTGTGGCCCTGAGGTATGACCAATAGGGCTGAGCTTCTCCAAATGGCCTAAGAGGGACCAGCATTAGTATAGTCCTGGAGACGTACACAGAGTAAGAGGCCAGGGCTGGGCTGGGTCAAGGACCAAAAGCTTCCTGTGTGGGAGCACCTGTGTATACCTGATGCTTATTGTGACTATGTGTGTGAACAAGGGTTCTTTAGATGTGTCTAGGACAGTGATGGTGAACCTATGACACGCGTGTCAGAGGTGACATGCAAACTCATTTTTTTGGTTGATTTTTCTTTGTTAAATGGTATTTAAATACATAAAATAAATATCAAAAATATAAGTCTTTGTTTTACTATGGTTGCAAATAACAAAACATTTCTATATGTGACACGGCACCAGAGTTAAGTTAGGGCTTTTCAAAATGCTGACACGCCGAGCTCAAAAGGTTCGCCATCACTGGTCTAAGAGCACGGGTGTGGGTAGGAGGGTTATCTGCTTAGAGACGCAGCACGTTTACAGTGAAGCAGTCTTTAACAGTCATCTAGCCCAAACCTTCATTCTGTAGAAAGGAAAAACCAAGGCTCAGAAAGGGGAAAAGATTTGCCTGAAAGCAGATGTCAAGTCGGGGTGGGGGGAGAGAGATGAGCTATTTTTATGCCTAAACTTTTGTGATCTAGAAAATCATAGCCAGCTGACCATTAGCAAAGAGAAAATGCATCCGGTTGATCTTCATTTCTCCCTTACTGTACTTGTAGCTGCCTTTTTCTAATAGTTGAATGTAGCTAACAGTAAGTGCTTACTATACACCAGACCCTAAGTGCTTTACCAGATTTCTCAATCTTCTGATGATACCATGAAGTATGTTCTAGTATTACTTCCATTTCAGTTATGAGGAAACTGAGGCTTATAGAGATTAAGCCACTTGTTCACTCCAACCCAAAAGGTTTGCTTCCAGAGTCTACATCCTTTTTTTTTTTTTTTTAAATATATTTTATTGATTTTTTACAGAGAGGAAGGGAGAGGGATAGAGAGCTAGAAACATCGATGAGAGAGAAACATCAACCAGCCGCCTCCTGCACACCTCCTACTGGAGTTGTGCCCGCAACCAAGGTACATGCCCCTGACCAGGATCGAACCTGGGACCCTTCAGTCCGCAGGCCAAAGCTCTCTCCACTGAGCTAAACCGGTCAGGGCCAGAGTCTACATTCTTGCACTCTGCTATACCGCAGTCTTGTAGAGATTAAGCAACTTGTTCACTCCAACCCAAAAGGTTTGCTTCCAGAGTCGACATTCTTGCACTCTGCTATACCACAGTCCCTGCTGAACCTCTGGTTTAAACTCTCTCCTCAAACTCTTGACTTTATCACCTCATTTTCATCAAAAGAGCTTGCTTCCTTCTTGAGAGAAAAAAAAAAAATGAATGAAATAAACTTACCTCCATCTTCACTTTCCTTCTATGAAAGAAAGGTCCCTCTTCCTAAATTGTCTGAGCTCAGGGTCCTGCTCCTCCAATCCCTTCCACAAGACCCACTTTCCTCTCCTTCATAGCCAAACTTCCTTCCATAATTCATTCTACAATCCATTCTCCATAAAGCAATATTTTTTTTCATAAAGCAACATTTTAAGACATAATAACAGCACTTTCCTACTTAAAACCTTCAACAGCTTCCCATTAATTCACTGAAAAATATTTATGGAGTGCCTACTATGTGTCAAGCAGGTTTAGGTACTTCACTAAATAAAACATCAAAGGTTCCTGCCCTCACAGGGTTTATATTCTAATGGAGGCAGACAATAAATAACGTACATAAGTAAATTATATAGGATATTAGGTGATAAATATAAGCATAAGGAGAAAAAATAGAGCAGGTGAAGGGGATAACAAATGGGGAGGGAGTGGAATGTTGCAGTTTTAAAGAATGTGGTCCTGGTACGCCTTGTTAAAGTGTTATTTGACCAATGACTTAAAGCAGTTGAAGAAGTTAGCCACGTGGATACCTGTGGGAAAGGCATACTAACTAAGAAGGAGCTAGTGCAAAGGCCCTAAGGATGGTGCCTGGTGTGTTTGTAGAACAATAAGGAAGCCAGCGTGGTTAAAATAGAATGAGGAGGGGGTAAGGATAGGAAATAAAGTCAGAGAGCTAAAGAAGGGGGCACAGGATCACAAAATACCTTGTAGGCCACTGGAGGACGTTGGCTGTCACACCCATTGCTCTTAGAAGCTAATCCTCTTAATATAAGCCTTGTAGGCTCCAGGGCCCCGTTTGCCTCATCACCTCATCACTACGCTCCAGCCAGGTTTGGCTGAAATAGATGCTTCCATCCACCAAGTGTCTGTCTACCTTGAGGCCTGACCCAATCCATTTCCTCTACTTGGACAGCTCTTCTCCTATGCTTTACCTAACATCCACTCATTCTTCAGGTCTTGACTTAAATGTCCACATTAGCACCCCCCCCGCCCCCCCCCCCAGTCCTACCCTCTTGTGTTTTTCTCCATTGTTGCTCTTACCCCAATTACAATTTCACATTTTTTTTTTTTTTTGGTGATTCTTTAATCAGCGTCCACTTCCCCAGCTTGACTGTAAAACTCCATGAGAGCAAGTACTGGGTCTGTTTTGGTGACTGCTGTATCCTCTGAGCTGAGCACAGTGCCAGGTAACTTGTATACAGTAAATACTTGTTACATTAATTCATGGGATGAAAGGATTTTCCTTTTTTTTAGAGTAGGAGAAATCCAAACAATTCTGAATAATGATGAAAAAGACTCCGTAGAAAGGTTGAAAGTTAACAAGGAACAGTGAGTAACCACGGAGAAAGCATTGAGTCCTTGCTGGGCTGAGAGGATGGGAACGCAGCTCCAGGGAAAGCGCGGTCTCTGGTGGGCACGCCTCGCTCGCAGTAGCAGGAGTCCCGTCCAATCACCTACATCACCGGTACCTCCCAGTTGCTTACACTGTGTCCCTTCCTCTTCGTCTCTACTGCTGGAGCCTAATGCAAGTCATTCCTGTCACCTGCCTGGATTATTTCAAAAGCTTCCCTGCTAGTGGATCGCTCTCTAACCCCTCTGCAGCCTCGGCTGGAGTCCTCCTCCCGCCTTTCACTTTCTGGAACGCAGTGAGTTCCATCCTCCCAGGGAACTCGCCCTTTCCCAGAATAGACACCTTTCCCCCACATTCCCCGGTCTTTGTCTAACTCCTATGGCTGCTTTAAGCTTAGCTCTGGCAGCGCCACCTCCTCTGCGGACACCCAACCCTACCGCGAGTCGCGTCCCTGAAGACAGCGTAAAGCTCACTCCCACGTCCCCGCGGCACTTACACGACGAATTACCTCCCACGTTTTCCCGTGTCCGAATACCCCACGTTCCCAGGGGGCGTGGCTCCGGCCAATCCGGGCGGCGAGCTGAACCGTGATAGCCAATAGGATCCCAGAACGCTCCGAACCCGCTCCTCGCGCGCCAGACCCCGGAGGTCTGAACGGAACTCCAGCCCCACAGTGACTTCCGGAGGCGAGAGCCTGCCCCTACCCCCGAACTCAATAGTCGCGCCAGGAGACAAAGCGGAAGTCCTGCCGTTTCTTGCCACCGACTAGTCAGGCAAGGGCCGCGCGGTGTCATGGCAGCCGACAGTGACGATGGCGCAGCTCCAGCGATCTCTGACAGTGAGTGGCTTTTCAGGGGCCGACTTAAAAGCCTGTGCGCCCTGGGGGAGGGGAAGGCCTCTGGCTAATAGTTCTAGAAACCGACCTCAAGTTTCAGAGGACTAACTTCTCCCTTTTTAACTAGCCACGAGGAGACTACAAGTCCCAGTGTGCACCGCGGCTCGGGCTGCAAAAGCCTGGAGTGTTAGGAGCACAGTTAGGATCGTTAGAGGGCATGTCGGGAAATGTAGTCTGGAACTCATTTCTCTGTTAAGTGGGGCAGGTTGGGAGTTGTGGTCCAAAGGAAGTGGGGTGTTTTGGGAAGCCAGGTGTAGGGCATTATCTCTGGGGCCTAATTATTATTGGGCTCCGGGCCATACAGGCTACTGCCACCTGTGGCTGCTAGGGCACCAAGGGAACAGTCGTATGGAGCCTGATGGGATATTAAAGGAACTCAACTCCTGGAGCCGTAACAAATAGTTCCTGCAGGACATGGGGAAAAGATACCTCACAGATCATCTAGTGACTAGAATTATTCTAGTCCAAACTTCACCTTCTACAGATAGTGATGCTGAGGGAGAAGTGATTTTCCCAAAGTCTAACATAAGAAATTCAGGGCACTATTCACTCCAAGGTCTGTGTGTAGAGCATGCTGATTCAAAGGCTTGAGGGGGAAAGCTGCCATTTCTTGCCATCATGGAAAATGCCCCCAAGCCATGGCCTACCTTGGTATCTACTCCCCGTCCCCCTTGCCTGATCATTAACTTCCATTCTTCTGTTCTCCTTGCCCCCAGATAGTGTCAGCAAAAGCACAAAACCTGGGGAAGAGCTGGTAGTACAAGTTCCAGTGCTGGATGTGCAAAGTGACAACTTTAAGGAGATGTGGCCATCCCTTCTGCTGGCCATAAAGACAGCTAGCTTCGTGGCTGTAGACACGGTGAGGGTTGGGGAACTGGGAGGGCAGGTGATTGTGAAAGGGCTGGTGTTGGGAACCTAATTTAGTTCTCCCTTTAACCACCCATAGGAACTGAGTGGGCTTGGGGATAGGAAGAGTTTGCTGAACCCGTAAGTATAATCTGTGATCTCTTTAGTTCCAACCCTGATGAGGGGAAGTGGGGGCAAACCTTAGCCCTGGAGTGGAAGTCACCCTGGGAGGTTTGGGCCCTTCATGAGGCTAACTCCTAGCTATAGCCACCCCCAAACCCAACCCCAAGGTGCATCGAAGAACGTTATAAGGCTGTATGTCATGCTGCCAGGACCCGTTCTATCCTCTCCCTGGGCCTCGCCTGCTTCAAGCAGCAGCCAGACAAGGTATGTGCTGATTTCATTCCCTTCCCAGGTTTGTGGCTGGGGGAAAGAGGAGGGTTGAGATCCTGGGAACATTATGTGTAAGGTTTTTTTGTTGTTTTCTAAATGTTTTTTATTGATTTGAGAGAGAGTAAGGGAGAGGGAGAGATCAAAACATGAATGATGAGAATCATTGATCAGCTGTCTCATGCACACCCCCTACTGGGGATCAAGCCCGTGACCGGGGATTGAACCATGAACCTTGGTTCATGGGTCCATGCTCAACCATTGAGCCACACATGTGAGGTTTTGATGTAGCGAACCCTCCTTCTCTCCCAGGGTGAACACTCATACCTGACCCAGGTGTTCAATCTGACCCTGCTGTGTGTGGAAGAGTATGTCATAGAACCAAAGTCTGTGCAGTTCCTGGTACAGCATGGCTTCAACTTCAACAGGCAGTATGCCCAGGGTATCCCATACCATAAGGGCAACGACAAGGTAGGTCCCCAGCCTTGAGACTGCCTCTTCTGTGATTTCATCTTCTTCCTACCACAGGCTGGATGTGCAGGAGGATCTGCTTCTTAGGGAGTCACTAGTGACAGGGCTGGGGAAATAAGACGAATATGTGGGTGAAGAGCATTGGGTTAGGTGCGGAGGAAGAGCTTTCCAGGTGGGGGAGCTCGGGATAAATATATTGTGAAAGAGGCTCCGTATGGGACTGCCCTTCCCGATGATCCCTTTCTTTCCAACCAGGGCGATGAGAGCCAGAGCCAGTCAGTGAGGACACTGTTCCTGGAGCTAATCCGGGCCCGCCGGCCCCTGATACTGCATAATGGTCTCATAGACTTGGTGTTCCTGTACCAAAATTTCTATGCACATCTGCCTGAGAGCTTGGGAACCTTCACTGCTGACCTGTGTGAAATGTTTCCAGCTGGCATTTATGACACCAAATATGCTGCTGAGTTTCATGCCCGCTTTGTGGCCTCCTACCTAGAATATGCCTTCCGGAAATGGTGAGGGACTGGTTGAGGGGAAGCGGTGGGGCCTGGTATAAACCTATTTTGTATTTATTGAGTGCCTATCATGTGCCAGGCAATGTTTTAGTGCTGGGGATTCAGCAGTGAACAAAACAGATAAAAACCTCTATTTGCATGGAGCTTATATGCTAGTGGACCAATACCCTCTTGTGCTATTTCAGTGAGCGGGAAAATGGAAAGCAGCGGGCAGCTGGCAGCCCACACCTTATCCTGGAGTTCTGCAACTATCCTTCTAGCATGAGGGCCCATGTAGACTACCGCTGCTGTATGCCCCCTACATCCCACCGTCCTCATTCCACCATCATCTGTGATAACTTCTCGGTGAGAACTCCCACCCATTTCATCGGGGAGGGAAGGTTCTGATACCTGGAACCCCTCTCTAAGCCTCTTTCCTGCCTCTAGGCCTATGGCTGGTGCCCCTTGGGATCACAGTGTTCTCGGTCCCATGATATTGATCTTATCATTGACACTGATGAAGCTGCCACAAAGGATAAGCGGCGACGGCGACGACGTAAGGAAAAACGACGGAGGGCTTTGTTGGGCCTGCCTGGGAAACAGAGCTCTGGGGAAGCCGAGGATGGTCCTCCCACTAAGCAGGTCTGTGGGGATGGTGTCAAGGCTGAGGACACTGAGCAGGAGGTGGCTCAGGATGAGACTAGCAACCAGCCTGGCTCTGAGCAAGATCACAAAAATGACTTGGAGATGGGACTTAAAGCAACAAGGCTTGAAACAGCTGACATGGCTGCCTTAGAAGCACCAGGGAGTCAAGCCAGTCCTAACCCAGTGCCTGGGGATGGATTGCATCGGGCTGGTTTTGATGCCTTTATGACAGGTTATGTAATGGCCTACATGCGAGTAAGCCAAGAACCTCAGCCCTGTAGCTCTGGACCCTGGCTACCTGAATGCCACAACAAGGTATACCTGAGTGGCAAAGCTGTACCCCTCACGGTGGCCAAGAGCCAGTTCTCCCGTTCCTCCAAAGCCCACAACCAGAAGATGAAGCTGGCTTGGGGCAGCAGCTGACCTAACTTCTGCTTAGCACCCAGAGCCCAAGAAGAGAAGCTGAGGGTAGAGCAGAGGGGTCTGGTCCCTCTAGCCTATGAATGTCCTACTCCCAACTACAGAGTTGGGGAGGAGGGCTCCTGACAGAGATACTGCTGCATTGCTCTGGACTTTCTTTACCCCAGAGGCTGAGAAACAATGGTACAAGAAAGAAGGCTGACCAGCACCTGTAGTAACCAACTTTATTTTTAAGTCTGAGAGTGTCTTGGGAAAGTTTTACCAAAAAATCAGCAGAAACAAGTTATGAAAATGTTTGACCATCTTTATCTTTGGTTATTTCTTATTGCGGCTCTATAAAGACAGACTGTTCCCGTAGCTCCGGCCATAGCAGGGAAGGAAGAAAATCAGTCCATGTATAAACCGTTTAACCAATTGGGTGTATCACATGTTGACAAATATATGGGGCAGGCCCTAGGGCCTACAAAACCAGCCCCACTCCCAACCACAAGGTTGAAAGTCTTAGAGGGCAGAACATTAAGACTCCCTTCATAAATATGAAAATAGGTTAATGAACTGGAAAAGATCTTTGAAGAGGTTAGCTAAGAGCCATGACCACCACTCTGCCTTGTCCTCCCCTTGCATAGAAATGTAGTGACGTGGTCTGACTGTGCAGTAAGTGCAAACAGCAATTATTCAAGTGTCTTAGACATACTGGCAAGAAGCACCCCAGTCTTTAGGTCTGAGAAATAGCCATGCTTTTTCGGCCTCCTGGTCAGCTCCACGTTCCATCCAGTAGCTTATATGCCCCAGGGAAGGGCAAGAGACAGACCTGGGATGGAAGAAGAACCTGGGGTAATAGTGTGCCAGCTCAAACTAGAACTAGGAGTCCTCTGGTCTTGTCTGCAGAAATGCATTGTGGGTCAGCTGGGAGCCAGAGCTCCTTGCAGGATTTCAGAGGCTTGGAATCAGCTGTTGGCCCCAACAAGGAAGGCTTCTCACTGCTGCCTCCCCTCACAGTCACTGGGCACTTGGAGCCCCAAAGTTGAGCCTGACTTGGCCTAGCCTGCCTGCTCTGTGGGCTCCAGGGAAGAGTCAAGGCTGTGCACCAAGGGGGCCCTGTGGCTTCAGCTGAAGGCCCATCCCCATGGTGAGGCAGGGATTAACCCCTCAACCATCCTGCTCTCCCTGGGTTTTCAAGCCTCTGCCTGAGACAGAGAAGGAGACTGGAGCCGAATCTCTTGGCCTTTCTTCTACCTCCATCTCTTCAGAGGCACCTGCAAGGCATGGACTGGCCCCCTGAGGCCTGGGCCCAAAACCATTTTCTTCCTGGGAACTGGAGCAGTCCATGGCTTCATGGGTTGGAGCAGCTGGTAGGGCAGATGCTCGGAATGGCGGGATCTCTCTTACTTTGTACTTGAGACTACTGAGACGTGGTGGGGGCCCATCAGACAGTGATTCTTCTCGGCCTACAAATGGACAGGCCTCTTGATGCAAGAACTCTGGTGAACCAGGCAAAGAATGCCACCGGCGAGCAGGTGGGGCCAGGGGTTCCTGCCAGTCAGCCATCGGCAAAGTTCCAGGCCCTGGTGCATCCAGGTCAAATACCAGGGAAATAACAGACTTGCTGGGCAGGTCAAAGAACTTGACCTTGCCACCCTTGAGGTCCTGGCGAGCACTGAAAG